AAGGAAGGAAGGAAGGAAGAAAGAAAGAAAGAAAGAAAGAAAGAAAGAAAGAAAGAAAGAAAGAAAGAAAGAAAGAAAGAAAGAAAGAAAGAAAGAAGCACACCACAAGTAGACAGTTTACAGATATAACAGTCCAAGAAGAAAAGGAGTTTCCAAGCGTACTGTAAAAACTGGAGTGTAGAAGGCTGCAACCTAGGACTTAGATGTTACATTTCTTGCATTTGGTTCTTATAATTAAACAGTCACCAAGAGAGGTGCCTGGTGAAGGGAAAACCACATGGCAGAGACTGCCAAATTCAGACTCGGCTCTGGGAAAGCAAAAGGCACCAAGACAGATGCAACTTACCCCACCATCCCCATGCTTCCAGTACAGGATGGCCATCAATTGCTGCTGCGGCTTTTTTTGTGTGGCTGATTTTGGAACCCAGGGTTTCATGCATGAGCTCTACCAGTAAGCTATGTCCCTGACCTTTGACCTCTATGACCTCATTTCAATATTCTGGGGTTTCTTTGCATTTGGCAGATGGAATAAGCAATATCAGATTGGATAGGTAGGCATCCCAAATTTTCACACTCAGGCAGTAAATGAGAAAGCTTGCGTTCAAACCCATGTTGAACCTCTGGATTTCTTTCTACCAGGCTACATCATGTTCTATGGGTATTGTTTTATATGCAGCAAACTCTACGACATCCATTTTGTTTGACATTATAACACTTTCTAGCATGTGGTGATGGAGGGCATTTGTTTTACTTAAAAGACCAAGACAACGCAAGACACTGGGAAACACACTGTGTTGCCTGTGCCCCTCTACCTGGTAATTATTCTGAGTATCATTTCATAGTCACAGAAATGATACTATTTTGAATTTGCACATTATAAAACCGAGGCTCCTTTCTGGGTACCCTACCCTCTCCACAGCACTGTGTTCCTGTAGGGACGGCAGACTTGGGGCTTACCTCTGGGAGGGACATGACGAAGTCGTGCAGCTGAGCCTGCTTCGCGGCAGCGAGGACTCTCTCCATGGAGATCTCTTGGGTGTTGTCCCCATACTTGATGTTGTCCATTATGCTGCAGTCGAACAGCACTGGCTCCTGGGAAACGATTCCAATGTTTGAACGGAGGAACTGAACGTTGACGTTTTTGCTGTCGCGGCCATCTATCATCTGCCAGGAGAGAGGACGGCAAAGGACAAGAAGTTTCAGCGTGCCGGCCATGAGGGAAGTCCCCATGGTGGAGTCAGGTGCTGGACATCGCATTTGTCCTTCTTTCGAGTGAACGCCCCCAGAGACCTGGGGGAATATATCTCATTGCCTGTGGCCTCGGGAACTGGTTTCTGACAGGCATATGCTTTCAAAGTTGACCCTGATTCCTCTGCTCTTGGGATGTTGTTTTTTTCCAAGCTCTGGCTCCACAGGTATTATATAAATGAGAAAGGATCTCAGAATAGCATTTAGTTGAGAAAAAAATTCTCCTTATAGTTTGGCATAGCCTAGTCTGTTCAGATATGTACACTTACTGTATTCTGAGGCTTTGGGAGTCTCCTGAAAGAGAGGGAGAGGGGTAGGGGGTGGGGCCAGGGAGAGAGACAGACAGACGCTATTAGATGACATGAAGATCAAACCTGTGTCCTTGGCTCTATTGACATTATTCTCTGGACAGCTGAGATAATAAGTCCAGGGGAAAATATAATTGCTCACTTAGTCACACTCACCTACAGAGTCATCTGCCAGGAGGCACCATATAAACAGTCTCTGTGTGCTATGTGAGAACACAATGTCTGTTTCCTGGGAACTCACAGTCCAGAAGTCAAGGAAGTTCAACCACAAAAATATGTGCTATTTAAGTTGGTTCAGTTAAGATTCCAAATATTCTACCCTAAAGGTACAGTAAATCTAACATATTAATTGTAAAGTATTTGACTGTATGATTTCAAGGGGAAAAGGTTATTTCAAAAAATGTGAGCAGGATATATTTTAGGTGACTTCTAAGCAATGGAAAATTAAACCCTATTTAAAAAGAAAAAGATGAGTACAGCAGCCCTCAATAAGAAGTAGTCTTTGCTCAGCCTGAGGTATTTCCCATAGGATCTATTTCTGTAAGAACAATTTAATACTGAGTCAGAAATTGAGCTTTTTGCTAATTGCTGTATTTGTGCTCTATTATGACCACCTAGGAGACAGAAGGTATGTTCCATGTTCCTGAAGAGTCTCCCACAGACAGTGTTGGACATATCACAGATGCCTAATGAAATATTGAACATACTGTACCTGTGTTTGGTAGCTTGTCTAAAAGCAAAGAGGATTCTTTTAAATTGATTAAAGCAGTATTTTCCTACTTATAGTGTTCATAGATACATTTTACAATGAGCTTACAAAATGTACTGTGCCTCTTAAATGCAAGAAATCATAAAAATGATTGCTTCCTTCCAGTGACGAGAGAATTCAATGTGTGCAAAAGAGAAACATGCTTAGTGTCCATGCTAATGTTGGAGAGGTCATGCATGGTGGAGTCAGGCTGCAGCAGTTCACATCTACCTGGACATAGACATGACAAAGCTGACATTTTAGAAAAGGGAGTTCTTTCCCTTGTAGAGATGAGATCTCTAGGGCAATGCATTTCTTAGGTTCGCGTCAGTCACCAAATACTTGCCAATACAGTAAAATCTTTACATTTAAAGGCAAGGGTCATGAACCACAAGCAATCAATTCCTACTCCTTATTTGCATACCCTCCTGGCTAACATCTGCTAACATCTGCTCGCTCCTTTTCTTTACTCTATGCAAGAGAACCTCACTTTTCTCTCGGTGTTTCTCTTCAGAATGTTACCTGCCCCCGTTGCAGTGAAGATCAAACTATTCAGGGAGATCAGAAGGAGCATTTTTAAAAGTACTGGGTTATGTTGGGGAAAAAGAAAGAAATCAGCAGAGAGTCTAAGTTAGTTAAATCATGAAGACAGAAATCAGAGCAACTAGAGACACAGAGGTAATCATCACTAGAACTCAAAGTATGAAGTGGTGAAGGAAGTTGATCAAAGAAACACAGGGGAGTGTTACTTTTTATTAAAAATCTTTATTATCTAATTCTATCATCAGGTGAGTATATTACCTGAGAAGAAAGGGGAGAAAAGAGAGGAAATGAGAGGAAGAAGTACTTAGAAGAATAAGCAATAAAGCAGTTGACAGTGTTTCAACCATCCTTGCCAAGGCTTTGTCAATGTGAGTTTATCTGTTATTAGGCTTAAGCTTCTTGGACCAGGATTGTCTCAGGTTTTTCACGCTTGCTTGCTTGTCTTGCTTACTT